CTACCTACGAAAAATATAGGGCGTACTGCTTACTCTAGTTAAAAGAGGTAGACCAGCGTATAAGAATTATCTATCTATCTAATATTCCTATCTTTTTGACCTTGTTTGTTGGGTATAAGCTGGTGAAGAAGACGAGGATCGTGAAGTTGGGGGAGATGGATTTGTGGAGTGGAAAGGTGGAAATTGATGCGATGGAGGGGACGTGGCCGGAGCGAAAGCCTAGGAATTTGTTGGAGAGGATTTGGTTCTGGATCGCTTGAGATTGTGATGTCTATGTTGGCGCAAGATCTGTATGTCAACGACGTCTTATGATTACGTTTCAGATCACGCGCCTGCGACGCTCTCTTTGTGCTCCACTTGGTCAGCTACTGCCGCCTTGGTCTTCTCTTCAATGCCGGTCTGGTATCCATGCGCCTGAGCAGCTTTCGATATCCTCTCGAGCTGACCCTGCTCGCTGTCTCCTTCCTTTAAGCCGCCTGCAAGGTTCTGTTGGAAAGTTATCGTCAGCTTATAGCTCGTAACGAGAGAGAGAGGCTTTACTCACCACCTTCCACGCAGCAGGCAGGAGCACGTTCTGCTCAATCTCATAATGCCTTCCTCCACTTGAATAGATGAATTGCCCTTGCCTGCTTTCATCCGCGAATAAAGTGGCGACTTGCCGTGCCACGACATCCGGAGTCTGCGTCTCCACGCCAGCAGCATCCGTGATCTCCTTCGGCACCAGACCAGTCAGAGTCCAAGAAGGGCCAATGCAGTTGATGCGGATGGGCAGTTTCTGCGAGATGAGGTTTGGAATCGCACCACGCATCCAGCCTAACACCCCATGCTTTGCAGTCGTGTAATCCCACACAGCGAATTGCTGGAACGAAGAGCCGGAAGCTGTGCAGACGATGGACCCACCCGGTGGGCTTTGCTTTTGGAAATAGTGGAGTCCGAGGTACGAAGTGTTGATCATGCCTCTGAGATTGATGTCGTACACCATGTTTGACGGCTCTTCCAGCTCGCCGTTCGCATCAAATGTGCTTTCGAGGTAATTTGCTCGTCCGGAAATGCCGGCATTCGAGAAGACATGATCGATGCGGGAATGCTTCGTCTCTGCAGTCTTGAACAGAGCTTTGAGTGATTCCCATGATGTCACGTCGGTTTGGACGAAGGTCAAGTTGTCATGCTGTATCGGCGGATCATTTCGGTCGCCAACAACGACGTATGCGCCTGTGTCGAGGAGAAGCTGGACTGTGGCGAGTCCAATGCCGGATGATCCACCCGTGATCACCGCGACTTTATCCTTGAGTGAAGCGAAGTCGGAGTCCTGGATCCAAAATTGGGCCATGTTGTGCAGAGTGCGGTCTGGAAGTGTAGAGTGTTCTCGGTGTCAAGCTTCACTCGCGCAGGAGGTCAAAGTCTATACAGAAGACTTCATCGAGCAGCTGAGCTCTCTTATTGCGATTACAGCTGTGCATTCGGCCGAGGAACGCGTGGATTCCTGGTTCCCCTCATGGGCATTGTAGCTTCAGCAGACTCGTCCGCCGCGACTCTGCTCGCGTATGAGTAGCTCGTGCTGACCAGCCATCGCGAAGCTGAGCTGCAGTGCTCCCATCGCAGTCACAGAAGGATGACTCCCGTCTTATAGCGCGGCGCACGCGGGCCAGCACCTGAGGTCGGAGGGTTGGCAACAGACGGACGAGGTGGTTGTCACATGCCGGCGCAGTCGCGGCACTCAGCAGGCAGGGAAGGCGCCGTCGGACCCTGCAGCACGTCTCGGCTCCTTGGCCGAAGCACGATCTTCCCCGCGATCGCAGGCGCAAATGACTCTTCGAACATTTTCTCGCCGCATCTGGCCGCAGTCAGAGGCCAGTCTCGCACCAGTCTCGCGCCCTACCAGACACAAGCACCGTGCTGTCCCAGTGCTCGCCAAATCACTGCCGCATCGAGCTTCCTTTCGCGACCATTGCCTGCCCTCCGAGCCCAGCATATAGACTTTCCTAGTTCCGCCGATTGTCTTTCCCAGTGCCACCATCTCAATATCGCCTTCGACTTTCTTTCACTGCTGCCCCGCCCTGCATCTGCACGCCCCACCGCCATTGAGCAGATATAACATCCTCCTACCCTCCGTCTCCAGCACCAGTAAGCACATGGCCTCTAACGGAACCTCTGTCTCACCTTTCCGATCTCAAAAGAACGCCGCAATGGCTGTCAACGACACCCCTGCCAACGGCCACGCCGAGCCCTCCACCATCACCGCCGCCTCGAAGACCAACACCACGAAGATCACATCTCAGAATGATCCTCAATCATCCTTCGCTGTCAAGGTCGGCTTGGCCCAGATGCTCAAGGGTGGCGTGATCATGGATGTGGTCAACGCAGAGCAAGCACGCATTGCTGAAGAGGCGGGTGCATGTGCCGTCATGGCCCTCGAGCGTGTGCCAGCAGATATTCGAAAGGACGGTGGCGTCGCTCGCATGAGCGACCCACAAATGATCAAGGACATCATGAATGCTGTCACTATCCCTGTCATGGCGAAGTCGAGAATTGGTCACTTCGTGGAATGTCAGATTCTCCAAGCCATTGGCGTGGACTACATCGATGAGTCCGAGGTGCTCACACCTGCCGATCCAGTCAACCACATCGACAAGAGCGTGTACAATGTTCCATTCGTGTGTGGATGCAAGAACTTGGGTGAGGCCCTTCGAAGAATATCAGAGGGCGCTGCCATGATCCGGACAAAGGGCGAAGCAGGAACGGGAGATGTCGTCGAGGCAGTGAGACACATGCAAACTGTCAATGCTGAGATTGCAAAGGCCAGCTCAGCATCTGATGCTGATCTTCGCATGATGGCACGAGAGCTGCAGTGCGACTACAACCTGCTCAAGCAGACAGCACAGCTCAAGAGACTGCCAGTCGTGAACTTTGCTGCAGGAGGTATTGCTACGCCAGCCGACGCTGCCTTGATGATGCAAATGGGTTGCGACGGTGTTTTCGTTGGATCTGGTATCTTCAAGTCAGGAGACGCAGCAAAGCGAGCAAAGGCTATCGTGCAGGCCACCACACACTACAACGACCCAAAGGTACTCGCTGAGGTCAGCTCAGGTCTTGGTGAGGCCATGGTGGGCATCAACTGCGACAAGTTGCCAGAGACACAGAAGCTGGCAACCCGTGGATGGTAAAGATGCAACTCCGCAAAAAGAACCGAGAACATGACTGTACGCATAGCAGCGGGCGCTGGGGTATGGGTATCATGATTGCAATAAAAAGAAAAGCGAGCGGGTTAGAGCACATCTGGGCGTGTTAGATTCTGTATCGCGCCTCACCGCGCCTAGGGTATCTCATGCAATCGAAACCGAAATCTCCAGGCCTGCTTCGGCGATCAACACCGTATATGCGTAGCTTTCACACTTCTGTCGTTCAATACTTCCCGCTCTCGATTTCAAACAAGCTCTTCCAGAATCGACTCCAGCTCTTCTCTCCTGAACGGCACCAGCAGACGTTCAGTGCCCAATGCGTCTTTTCTGGACTCAATCATCTGATGATCATGGAATTCCTTCAACAACGTTCTGAAATTGACTTCGCTCGAGCAGACAAACTCCTCCACCGCCTTATGGTAGAGCGTGCGATACTCGACACCAGCAGGCGCCGCGGCTTGCACAGGTTTCGGCGGCTTCTTCTTCGTCGCCTTCGGTGGTCTTCCGCGGCCTCTTCCTCGCTTCGATGGCGTCTGTTGTTCTGCTGCCGCCTCGTCCTCATCTTCCACTCCAAGAATCTCGTCTGGATCACTGTCCTCGCCAATACCATTCACCAACGCTACTTCTCCTTCCATGTCTGCAAGAGCTAATTGCTCTGCTACCAAAATGCGGAACAGCGAACGAGCATTTTCTGGAAGAGACTTCAAGACGTAGCCTACGCCGTCTTTGCCGCCGAGACGTCTGCTGCTTCTGCCGAGGAGGGCGTTGACGTCTTCGACGACTTCGATTTCGGCGGTGTAAGGTGAGAAGGTTGTGGCGTCGTGGTGAAGGAATTTGTATTGGGATGAGAGGGCGATGTCCCACATCAGGGGGAAGTTGGGGTTGTCGCAGGTTGCTATCAGTGAAATGCTGGGATGCGCTGCTAGACGTGCTAGTAGGCCTTGAGTGACGGCTTTGCGAAGATTGGCGTGGTCCAGAGAGTGGATGATGAGTTTGATGGGGGCTTTGGGAGGGTTTGTGGTGAGGGTTGATAGGATTGCATCGAGCATTGCAGCGGGTTGTGCTGGTAGTTTGGTCCCTTTCGCAATGACAACACTTGCGACGTTCGAGAGAACATCGCGTATTGTTAGACCTGGAGCGTAGCCATTTACGATAACGATCTTGGGTGGTTTGTCAGACTGGCGACATAAATGCTCGGCAAAGTCCATGGCCAGCTTTCGTTTCGAGCCGTAGCCATATAAGCAGATGTTAAAGCCTTCATCGAGTTCGAAGACCCATTGGTCAAATGCTCGGGTATGAAGCTGCTTGAGAATCTCGACATCTTCCTTGTGTGGATCCTCGTAGGAAGTGATTTGTGTGAAATAGTCTTCATGATTGAGCAATAGATGAGTGGGCATCGTGTTGGCCGACGTCTTGTTCCCACCCGGGCGATTCTGAAAGAAGAACAACTCATGTGGAGGCAGATTGGGTGGTGGGCTGGGTGTCCGTTCACGCCTTCGTCCTTTCGGTCGCCCTCGGGGTCTGCCAGTCTTTGAGGGAGTGTCTGGTGCACTCTCTGCATCTGTAGGGTTCTCTGTATCGTCCACATCGTCCTCGCCCAAGATAGCCTGCGCAATGGCCTCCTCTTGCTCATCATTATCATCGTCGCTGTCGTCACGTCCTGCTATCTGCTTTTGCAATGTTCGCTGACTCTTTCTACGTGCGGAACGGTCATTGCGATCGTTGCGAGTGGCCTTGGGAGTCTCTTCATCGTCGCCATTGGTTTCTTCTTCTGGATGCTGTGGTGTAGCAAATAACACTTTTCTCAGCGAGCTCGGCGTAGCGTCAACACTTTTGAGTCCATTTGCTTTGCTCGGAGTCTGCTTCAGGATGGACCTTGAAGGTGTTTCCGATCCTCGCAATGGACTTGACACGGTGGGAGCATGGTCGTCGAGTCCGCCTCGTCTCGCCTTGCGCGGTGTTGTGTCGTCGACATCGTCCTCGTCAGGAGCCTTCCGCCTCTTGGGCATGTTGTATTGACGCGAAAAGGTGTTCTACTGAAAGTTAACGCGTGAAGCTGTTTGAGGTGACGCGAATCGCTGGCGTCGTCTCGCTTGGCCATCCCTCCCCTCAAGCTGCACCTCCTCCGCGAAGACCACGACAACAACCACACGCAAACACAGCAACAACCGCCAAGATGTTGTCCGGCCTGCTGCTGTTCAATCAAAAGGGCGAATTGCTCATCATGAGAGCCTTTCGCCAGGACATGCGACCACGACTCGCCGATGTCTTCCGCATTCAAGTCATATCGAACCCACAGATCCGGTCCCCAATTCTCACGCTCGGGAGCACGACCTTCAGCCATATCAAAAGCGAGAACATCTATATTGTCGGTGTATCGAAGGGAAATGTCAACAGCGCACTGGTCTTTGAGTTCCTGTACAAGCTCGTCCAGCTGGGCAGGAGCTACTTTGGACGGTTCGACGAGGAAGCAGTAAAGAGCAACTTCGTGATGGTGTACGAGCTGCTAGACGAGATCTTGGACTTCGGATACCCGCAGAACACAGAGACGGAAACGCTGAAGATGTACATCACCACGGAAGGAGTCAAGAGCGAGCGAGCACTGGAGGACAGCAGCAAGATCACAATGCAAGCTACCGGAGCCCTGAGCTGGCGACGGGACAACATCAAATACCGGAAGAACGAAGCCTTTGTTGATGTCATTGAGGATGTCAATCTACTAGTGTCAGCCACTGGAACAGTATTGCGAGCCGATGTGAACGGAGCCATTGAGATGCGAGCATACCTATCCGGCACACCCGAGTGCAAATTCGGCCTGAACGACGCGCTCACGCTTGGCTCTCATTCTGGAGGCCTGGATGGCGCGACTGGGCCTATTGGCAACCTGGCAGGCAGCAAAGCGACGAAAGCAGCAGCTGGTAGTGTCACGCTCGAGGACGTCTCTTTGCACCAATGCGTCAAGCTCAGTTCATTCACAACAGACCGGACTATTTCCTTCATTCCGCCAGATGGATCTTTCCAGCTCATGTCTTACCGCTGTTCGGAGAACGTAAACTTGCCCTTCAAGGTCCAGGTCATCGTCAACGAGATTGGTCGCAGTAAAGTCGAATACTCAATAGCCATACGTGCGAATTACGGTGCAAAGCTCTTTGCTACAAATGTCAGTGTACGGATACCTACACCTCTCAACACGGCAAACACGACGCACCGCTGTTCGCAAGGCAAAGCGAAATACGTACCTGCTGAGAATGTGATCGAATGGAAGATCGCCCGTTTCACTGGACAGAGCGAGTTCGTCTTGTCGGCGGAGGCTGAGTTATCTGCCATGACAAATCACAAGGCGTGGTCAAGACCGCCGCTCAGTATGCAGTTCAGTTTGCTCATGTTCACGAGCTCTGGCTTGTTGGTGCGGTATCTCAAAGTGTTCGAGAAGAGCAACTACTCCAGCGTGAAGTGGGTCCGCTACATGACAAGAGCTGGAAGTTATGAGATACGTTTTTGAGCGTCTGCAGGTGACGGATGTTGCTGTGTCGCTGGACAGGAGAAGACGATATCACTGCATTGCAAGCAGGGCAGGTGCCTGGCACACCTCCATGCAACAATCACCTGAAAAGCAATTTAACTAAGTGAGGCATTGGTAATAGTGAGTAAGATGACGCTTCGGCTCTCAGCGCTATCACGACACCGCGCCGTGCACACACGCATTACCGACCACGACATGGAACAACAAGCTAATATCAGTGCCATTGGTCAAGACCAGCGTCTGGAGAGTGCGACTGCCGCAATCGCCATACCCGACTCCAGCACAGCCCCTATCGCGCCATTGTCGGCTGACACTGACGACCGTACACGCAGCCAGTTGGCCGCTGCTCATCCGGATGAACGTCTTCGAACCGGACCGTGTCTACTTGTGGACCAGGCCATTGCTGCGATCTCGGGTCAGCAGGTTGGAAAATTGCGAAAGAGATTCCTCCGGTCTGGTGGCGATGTGATTATCGTACTCGATCGGCATGATTTGTCGATATCATGTTGTATCAGGTCTGAGGACTTGCGCAAGGGCTCTGCTGCTACTTACCTACTGGAGCCAGACCCATCTCGAGTTGATGGCATCATCAGATATTTCTGTGTTCTGGAGTCGATCAAAGGAGAGAAGGTACCACGATTAGCCGGCCGTCCACTTTCTCACGAGAGTCATGAGGATGAGCGAGTGTACTCGCATTGCGAAGGCAGTCAGGTTGACTGGGTCAGAGCTTACGAGACCTTCCTACGCATGCTCTCACGCGTGGAGCCCAAACATCATCTTGTCAATTCGTCGTCTGCTCGAGTTGCCTTGCCTCAACTAGAAGCTCTCGGCCGCATCGCTGCTGCAGAGAAGGCCAATATGCCAAGTTCTTCAGTCACGACTGCAGTGAAATTGCTCTTTGCAGAGTATCCGGACATCTGGCCCGCCATCGCAGAGGATCCAGCACGATGGTTGATGATTGCGGAGAACTTCCGCGTTACATCAGTCTTCAAAGAGGCAATCCTTCACTTGGTGGGCCAGTACCCTCGTCTCTCCATTTGTTCGGCGACCTTCACGCCCTCAGAGTCGAACATGGCCGTTATCGACAGGCTAGCTACTCAGAAATACTATCATAATCTCGCCATCGACCACGAGATACTCCTCCTGACATCGAATGATGTGAACACGGACTCTTTGGAATATGCACTCTTAGCTCATTACCTCGACTGGGTGAAAGAGCATCTCCGCATTCACGGCCACGGCAATAGCGATGCGGAACATCCTTCCAGATATTGCGATCACAAGGGTGATGAGCAATGCCTGCAGCCCGCTCACTTCTATCGAATGTTGCACAAAGGAGGAGACCACTACTTGCATGAGAAGTCCGTATTCGAAGCTTTGGGAGAACGCACGGGCGAAAAGCTCAGTTCCGAAGAGCGAGATACTGTGCGCGAGTTTCTCAAAGCTTTGAAGGCAAAGGTCTCTTCGTTGGTGGAGCCCATGGTGAAGTCGTATCTCCAATACGATGGTAGGCACGAGTTGCCGTATCTCACCAATGTGTATCTGAGCGACAAGGACATTCCGTGGATTACTGAGGAAGCTGGAAGTGGCGATGGGAGCGATAGTGATGATGAGATGGAGGACTAGCAAGGCGACTCTACTTCAGCGATGACTTGTTCTGTTTGCAGAGGCAGCAAAGCGTGGAAATATAGCCGCGTCTGCAGGTCTCCAACCTCGAATTGAATGAATTGACTCGATTCTTCATCGATACCTTAATCGATCTACTTTGGAGTGCTTGTGAATCGAAGTTGTTCTTATCAGAGCAACGTGTGTGGTATCTCCGGCAGGGAGGGAGCAATCGCAGAGGCGATATCAAGGGCCAATCAGATCGCGGTTGCCCAAAAGACCAGGCTTCCATAGATAACACGACAACATCACTTCTTCTTTTCTCCATTCCCAGTCCATTGACCTCCTTGTCGTCTTCTCATTCTTCTCTCTACACAATCTCTGGTATTTCTGCTGTTCCCACACCGCATGGCCATGCGTCTGCACAGATCCTCTCGGAGGTGGTCACGCAACGCGGCTAAAAGTAACTCTTACGTCAAGCTTTGCGCTTTGCGACGAGCCAACGGAAGAGGTGCCTGGCCAGCGATCTGACATCTCCGTGCGGGCGCACTCTTTGACGAAGAATGTCATTGTGAGCTTGTGAATCGGCGACGACTCGCAGGAAGGGCAGACGGCAAACAAAGTGATGGAAAATGGCTCAACACATCCAGCGCAAACCGGCCTCGATCGAAAGCGACAGATGCATGATGGAGAGTTCCCTCACACACCTGTTGCGCGGCACGGAAGTCGCTCGGCTGAGGCAGTCCGAGGAGAAACAGCGTTTCCACAGCACGTCACAGCAGAAGAAACGAGGAGACGTCTGCTGTCTCGCTGTCACAGGTAGGAGTTGGGAGGAGAAACAGGTGGTCTGCCACTACTATTCCGTACACACCTGCTATTTGCATTTCCTCGACTCGTCGACGATCCCCTTCCTTGACGCGCTCTTGACGAAAGCTGCACCCGCGTTACCGCTATAGAGCCGCACTTTCCTGTGGTTCCACATCCTTTGTCTCTACCACTGTTTCCTACGCCTTTCTCTTTCTTCTCGCCGCAAGACTGACAAGGGAACTGCTCTCACACGCCAAGAACAGCCAGACAGCCGATTTGCGGCTCTGCTCGAGAACCGGCAAGACAACATGGTACAGTCAGAAGTCGCGAAGCAATTCCTGGATTTCGACATCGACAAATACATCAACCCATACATCCCGCACAACCGACTATACATTCTCCCAAACTTCGCATCGCGATGGCTCGGATACCGACATGAACCGCAAAAGGAGCCCTGGCAAGCCCTGCAATGGCCGATCACATTTCTGGCGACTGTCGCTGGGTTATGTCTCGTCGGCGGAATAGGAAACCACGCGCCTGGGATTCTGGCATGGCATCCGCCTGTGATTATCGCATCGCTGGGTGCAAGCGCTGTGCTGGACTTCAATACGATCAAGTCGCCGCTCGCGCAACCCCGAAATTCGATTATTGGAAACACATTAGCTGCCATCAGTGGTGTGGCGATCGCGAAGCTGTTCCAGCATAACTCGAATTTCAACAACATCCAATGGGTTTCCGGAGCTGTGGGATGTGCGCTTGCGTCGTGGGTCATGAGTCTTACGAACACGATCCATCCTCCCGGAGGTGCGACGGCCGTGCTGGCGTCCACGCAAGTTGAAGTTATTCGAATGGGCTGGAGATATGTGCCGATTGTCTTGCTTGACAGTGTCCTAATGGTTGTTGTTGCGTTGCTCTTCAACAACATCTTGCGGCAGTATCCGATGTACTGGTGGAGTCCTGGAAGCGTCGGAAGCACACTGCGTAAGGAGAAGCGGGAGGAGAAGCACGGCAAGGAAGGAGAAGAGAAGGACGAAGAGAAAGGCGAGCGACAGAAGCCTTCTTCGGACTCTGGCAGGTAAGCTTTTAGCCATGTCTCTTGTCATATCGTGGCCCTATGCTGATCCCGAACATAGCGACGACAACACTCTTCGAAAGGAGCTCAGCGATCGCGTCGACTTTGTGGACGGCCTGGAAGAGATTCAAATCTCACCATACCGAATCACATTGCCTCGACATGTGAAGCTGGATGACCACGAGATCATGCTTCTGCAGAACCTACAGGAGCGTATCCGCATGCATGGCGAGATTAACGCACCTTGAGTCTGTTGCTAAGAGATACCCATTTGCTTATTATAGCATCAGCGACACTTCCCAGTAATTTGTATCGATAGTAGTCATGAGCAGCATGCAGCGTTCGACCAGCCTAACGCAATTTACGAATTCATGAACTTCGTTCTCCGATCGTATCTGACATGTGTCTGCACACGCACTCCTTCCCTATTCATAACATCTCCTCCATCGCCTACGCAGAAATCGACTCCCTCATCTTCAAATACTCCTTCCTATACCCATTCGCATCCGTCTCCTCCCCCCGATTAAGAGGCGTCCACTTCGGATCCTCCTTAAACAACCTCATCGCCTTGGTATAATTCTTCTCATCCGTCGTAAACCGATGATAAATCCCCGCGGGCATAATCATCAAATCTCCCTTTTCCAATTTAATCCTCACCCACTCGTCCTCTTTATCGCGGACATCGAAGTAACCTCCGCCATCGAGGATGTAGCGAATTTCTTCATCTTCGTGGAGATGTTCGTGGAAGAAATTTTTCACTTTTTCTTCGTAGTTGGGGAGGAGGGTGGGGGAGATTTCAATTTCGTCGCGGTTTTTGTATTGGCGCGTGCTGGCTATGCGGTTTACTTCGGCGAGGTTGTTGGGGAGTTCGTAGTGGAGGATGCCGAGTTTGGCGAGGTAGGCGGGGTCGACTTCGCGGCCGCTGTCGTGGGGTTCGCGTTGGTCGCCCTGGTGGTGGTGTGTATTAGTCGCATGGTCTGTAGAAGTGCCAGATGCGGGGTGGTGGTGGTGGTGGACTCACGGGAAGGTTATCGTACCAGTAGGCCCTCATTATGTCGTGTGTCGGGTGTCGTTGTGGTCGCAAGTGATGCTCAGAGTGTTCCTTGGAGTGATTGACAGTGGTAGGTTCTCAGAAGGTTCTTTTCTGGTGCAGGTGTTGGTTGGGCTTCTGTTAACTGCTCGCTGCAAACTTTCCGTAATCGCGACAGCGAGACCCTGGGCTTTGGAGCGATGACGTGCCCAGCTGAAGGCTCCACCCTGCCTCAAATGTCGCACGTGTTTGGCTCCTTCCTTCCGATCGTCGAGGGAAGCCACACACTCTTGAAGTGAGGTCTATTGTAGATATGCTCAGGCCAAATCGTCGCCAGCGGTCACTTCTCTAGGAAAGCAAGTTGCTTGAAGCGAATGAACCACGCTCAATCCCACTCAGAGATTTCTCTGACAAAAGGTCCTTTGATGCGAACCATGTCCCTTCCTAGCACCGGACTCTCCAATTCATGCCAAGGCTGATTTGGTCCAGCTTTGCACTCACTGAGACACGAAGCTCTGTCAATCAGTTCTTGAGCCGACAGCTTGTACCCGTAGGCGTGTTGTGCCAGGCCCACGACAGACGGAAGGCAAGCACAGATAATTGCCACGCCGCATTCGATTGTGCTCCAGAGGCAGACAGGATTGTATGCGAACGTAAGGTTGTCCGTCGTGTCCAGCTGAATCACGTACTGGAGCCTGACGATAGAGCAACTTGTGAGAAAGAGGCCAACGGAGAACATAGTCCCTACTATGAGCTTGTCCCGAAGCGAAAGGTCGAAGGCGAAGAGCTTTGGAAGGGGCAGAAGGCAGATGATGAGATCTTGCACTGTGTTGAAGGCTGCCAGGGCTAGTCCATGGGCGTTCAGATCGATGCAGGTTCCTTCGTGTTCGCCATCCCATCTCAGCCAAGTCTACGCTTTGTCAGTATGAGATCTTCCCTATCAGACATCCATCTGCGTACAAAATTGATAGGGTTGCATTCAAAGCCCAAGGTGAGGCTCATCACGACCGCGTATGAGGCCAGGATGATAATCATACCAGAACACGCCAAGCGAAACCAGTCTCTGCGAACAATGGGATCCGCTATCCATACTCGTAGGTACAGAGCCAGGATGGAGATCTTCGTCATACTCATAATCCAGACGTACAGGAATTGGCCGACCCAATAGGAGTACATTATGTTGGTGATGTTCTCGAAAGGAAGCCGCCAGATATCCCGACCAAGACCCATCCGTGTGAGCTCGTGAGTGATCACGCTCAGTGGTATCATCAAGAGAAAGGCCAGCGCAATTGTATGGTCATCTGCACCGTATCCACTGCCGCTCACAGAGGGCGCTCGGAAGACGAAGCGTGCAACGACCGCCATCAGAACGATCGCAAACAGAGCCCAGGATGCGTGCTTGGTGGTTTCACCCTCGTTGCGCGCAGGTATCTCGCATGTGGTTTCCCGCACACGGTATGCGACTACAATCAACATCCAGGTCAGCATCCTTTCGAGTGGATTACGCTTGCCACATACCTAGGAAGTCCTTCACTGAACACGTTTGCTTAGTGCACGCTTCAAAGTTCTTGCTGTATGTCTGGCTTTCGCATAGGCACTTCATATCTGCTCGAGCGCATCCTGATAACGACAGTACTGTCTGATCGCAAGCCACCTGTTCGAAAGCTGTTAGCACATTGGTCGTGCCTCAGATGGATCGATACCAATAGACCCACAGCACACGGTGCCAGCTCCGACACAGGGAGTTGTGAATGTGCGACTCGTGCGGAGAGGCTGGCCACGAGAAAACCCACGAGGGGCCAGAACCTCATCTTTGAAACAATGCGCGAGCACGGTATGCTGTTTGAAGCCGCAGGAAGGAAATTTCGTCAACAATGATAGAGAAAGAACGTGTGAGGGCAGGAGTGGGACACGAAACACGCGAGTTCAATAATACCATTGCAGCACGCATGTACCGACCGTTTCTTGAACCTTATGGCTCGGGCTTGGGCAAAAATCTGCCCACGAGGTCGAGAAGAAATACCGAGCGGCGGCTTTTTCTGGCACTGTGCATGCAGTGGAAAGCGAGTCGAAGACCACCCGAGGCTGACACGTTCGTGAAAGATAACGTCGAGAGCTGACTCGCAAGTAGTAGCCAAATGAGAGCGATGTCAATGACTCGAGCCACCGCGCCCACCACAGGGTCTATGGAACGAGCAGGGCCATGTTGATGGTTTCACAGGTCGAATGTGATTTCTCGACTACAAAATGTATTGATAATTGACTCCGGTCTGGTCGATGAGCCTTTTACAAAGCCATTGCTATTCTTGAAGCTGCGCTTGAGAGGGTTCAGTCGGTCAGAGTCAGTCGCTCGCATGAAAGTGCATGTCTAGAACGTGCTTCCAAGTCATGTGTGCGGTGCCATATGAAAGCCAATGAGTATCCTGGCGCTCATTGTGTCTTCGTACGTCGTCCATCACTGGTCGTCTGGGCGAGTACCTCCACCCTGTGTTGGCAATTCCGGCCGGAATTTGGCGAGCTTGATGCCGTATTGCTCTTCGCAAGCCAATTTCTCCCCGAGGAATGATATACCAGGTAAAGTCCTCAAAGCTAATCAAGAGTAGCGAGGCGTTGCACAGCCTTGCGGTGGGCTTCCGCAGCCCAGGCACTCCCGTCCTCGAAGCGCCTCACAGCGAACGTTGATGGTGGCTCACGATGCCCTACCGTGAGGCCGTGTGGAAATGTAAAACCTGTCTTAGATCAGGCTGCCATGGTCCTGATGCAAGAGAAGCGTGCTCCGCACTCAGCCCTTCGCATCCTTGATGGCCACTCCGGTTCTCACTGTGCCGATGAGACCGCCAGTCTGAATGCTCTCGCTGCCACCGCCACTAAGACGGTATTCGATATCGGCCAGACCTTCCATCCAGGCCACTCGGGTTTGAGCAGGAACTTCTACCTCACTGAGCTGCTCGCCCAACGCAGTCAAGATATCAGCCAGTGCCAGCCCTTTCGCTTTCTTGAGTGTATTGATTGTGTTCATGCAGCTGCCAACGTTCTTTGTGTTCAGAAGCGTCTTCATGATAGTCTGAATGTCTGCTGGATGAGGCGCAGCGATGCAATCATATATGGTTTCCTGTGTAATGAGGTCTCGCTGAATATCCTTATTCTCTTTCACTGGCTGTCCAGGGATATGAAGTGGAGTCGATGAAGCGTGACAAGCTTGCAGGACGTTCAGCGCACGCCGCATGTCACCTTTGCTCAATGTGACCAAAGAATCAATCGCTGTCGTTTCAATGTTGACATTCTCTTCTGCAATGACCTTTTCTACGAGTTGGCGGATGTCGGCGTCTTTCAAGGGCGAAAATCGAAATCGAGTGCAACGCGACAAGAGTGCTGGGCTGAGCTTGTGCGTATAGTTGGCAATAATGCAAAAGCGAGTATTGGCCGTGTACTTCTCCATGATCCGCCGAAGTGCCATTTGTGCAGTGCTCGTCATGGCGTCTGCTTCATCGAGGATGATCAGCTTGTAGTTGGCAATGCTGCTGTCGTCTCGTTGCGTTTTGTCGAAGCTGCCCGCGAAAATCTGCTTGGTGGAAGAGAATGTTTTGATCTGTTCCCGCACAACGTCGATGCCTCGATCGTCGGATGCATTCAGCTCGAGCACCATCTGGCGCATGTTCTTGTTGCCATAGATGCGACGTGCCAAAGCGAGCACAGTGGACGTCTTGCCGGTTCCTGGAGGGCCGTAGAGCAGCAGATGGGGCAGCCGATTCGAATCGACGAACTTGTTGATGGTGGCGAGAATATCGTGATGACCTGACACGTCCGACAGCGAATTAGGGCGGTACTTTTCCACCCATGGCAGGTTATCCTCTGCTTCCACAGGCAGGTTGGCGGCGCTACGTTTGCCTTTGCTGTTTGCGGCGGAGGAGAAGGTGATGTCGGCGGTGGATGCCTTGACGGGGGCATCAATGTCCATTTCATCCTCGATGTCCGACATGATTGCGTAGGTGCGGCGTGTGCAATGCTGCGTGCGGCTTGCTCGTTCAGTGCAGTGTGAGGGAGGCGCACAGAATCGGACGACGCGTCTTGGGCGCGTCGTGATGACGGCTCCACTTTGAGTTCGAAGACCCTGTGCCCATGCACAAAAGTGTAGGACCGCATCACGTTCGCCTCTTCGCCGCAAGTGACAGTGCTCGCGTGCCATCGATACTCGCCCTGCGCATCAATGCTGGCCCGTACAGCCCGGTCGCCGGCATGGACCAAGCAGGCCTACGTGTGTCGCGCATGTCGTCGGCAATGGCAGATTGAGCGAGCATACCAGCGACGATGGAACAGCCAGAACGCACAGAGCTCGGGCTTGCTCTCCGACGAATGGTTCGCCATCAACGACATCAATGAATCTTTCGGCGATCATAAAATAGGCTCCCCGCAGCGACCGAAGGAAAAAGAAGAAGGAGTGCAGAAGAACAGTTCAAAAGACAACAGGGACGGCAGAGTTGCCGGACCAGATGGCGTGGCAGGGCAAGACTTTGGATCTTTACAGAGTTCGCTATCCGACTCGCTTCCTGCAGCGGATCGTCGAAGACTCAAAGAGACTCGGGTAGCCAACGAGATCTCTAAGCGGAAAGATGCCGGCTTCAAGGCAGCCTTCCTCTCTGGGGAATCACGGCATCGAGATCGCAGCACAGCTCGGACTGGGGCCGTGGCCCCCAACGAAGATATAATGGCGACCTTGATGCGCGACCTACAAGCAGAGGCGAGGATCAAAGCAGTGGAACAAGACTTGGAAATTGGTCGATCACTGGGAGAGGTTGAAGACGATGATACAGAATCCAAAGTCTCACCTACCCGGCGGGATGCTGGGCCGAGACCGTTTCCGAATTTTCGAGGCGGACCATCGCAGACCGTCGCCAGTGCCATAGCACCCGCAAGCAAGGCATCTGAAGTGCCAAGCAGTGACTCTGCGCCGCCGAAGGTCTGGAAGGCCAAAACATCGCCTGCAGAACGTGGACTAGGTGGCTCAATCACGCCTAGTGACCTGTCGGGGAGGCCCACCTCCCTACTCGACCGCCACAGGGAGACACAGCCTCGTAATGCATGGGGCGCGAGCGATAGCGCATCATCTAGTCTTCCGTCAAAGGTCACATACAAGTCACTCTCCGAAGCTGATCGGACATCGGCTCCGAAACAAGCAGCAGGCACACCTACTGGAGCACGTCCATTTGGCTTGGCTGCTAAAGTGAAGGCCATGTGGAGAGGTATCTCGCAACCTACCGCTCAAGATGGGTCGCAACCATCCGCCAACCAGAAGCATTCACCCAAAGCTGAGCAGCCCGCCGGCATTGATAGTCTGCGCTCACGACTCCTCAGCAGTTCTGAGCTTAGTGGCAGTTCAAGTGGAGACGGCGAATCAACAGTTCGTCGCGATGACTCTGAGGAAATTGCGCCTGTCGATAACGCAGCCACAGAAAGCCTTCAGAAATTACATGCTAGTAGACTTCGGACCTCTGACAACGCCGTCGAGGAGCTGTCACAAACCTCGGCGGAAACAGTTGTATACTCAGACGCAGAGGAGCGCAGGCTACAACAAAGAATTCGAGATCTGGAATCAAAACGTCCTTCGGGTCGAAACAGGGCGACGCGTAAAGATCGTTTGCGTAGGGCGCGACAGCTTCTGTCCAAATTACGCGCTTCTCGTGGCGAGAGCCTGGACGGCAGCGATGGAGCCACTGCGCATGCGTCTCCATCCAGGCCGGACCCTCGGGAATCAATGACCATGTCCGCAGTGGCGGAGGAGCAGTCCGACAACAATGGTGGATCCGCAAACATGGTTGTTGTCGGCAATGACTCTGCAGATTTACAGGCTTCCGGCGCCAGCACAACTCCAGTTACTGGAAAATCACTTGGCGAGGCTATGAGAACTGGCACAGCAAATTCAAAAACCACACACAGGCTACGCAGATTAACGAGAGCCAGCAACGAGGTTGTTCTTGATATGCGCAGATCAGCGACGATCGAGAGTGAAGTAGCCACGCAACATACAGATCCAGTCGAGAATGATGACGAGGCGGAAGAAAGCTCGCAAGTGGATGTGCTGTCGGTTCAACCCTCTGAATTGCAGGTGCAGCCTCTCAACATACCGCAGCCGCCCGTGCCTTACCTCGAATACGGCTTGGATAGGGTGCTCTTCAACCCAGGCGTCTATCAGCTGCAGGATGCGGCGTCGCGTGTTTACAACTTTGACCCTTATCTGCAAAAAATCATGCCGGTTGAACAGTTCGATTTCAATTCACTGAAGGAATACAAGACTTCATCTGAGGATACTGCGCTTTCTGCGATAGCGAAGCAGGAGAGTGCCCGATACATTGGCTCGACATCAAGCATGACAGGATCGCTCGCGCACTTCCATTACCTAATCTCTAATTGGCGACCTCTGGGCTTGGACATGCTATCCTATGGGTACGCCGGCGGCAACAAACCGCCGATTGCAGAGTTCACAAAGATCAATAAGGCGCCCAGCGCGATCTTTCTGAGGTGGCAGGATGGTTGCTACGCCATCGATGCGGACAAGGAATTCGATAGCGGGAATGTACTGATGCTGTTGGGCAAGTCCTTGGAACTGCTTCTCACATTGCCGAAAGACGAATACGAGAAGTACCGCAAGAGTGATCCGCGGATGGTGCCAGAAGAGCAACGTCTAGCACCTGAGAGCTATCAGTACAGTACGATGGGTGACTTTTTAATGCGATCCCAGCTTGACGCACATGACCCTCGGTTGCCTGGTAATGGCACGTTCGATCTCAAGACCCGCGCGGTGGTTTCTGTGCGCATGGCGTCTCACGACCATGAGCCTATGACTGGGTATGAGATCTATGGCAACCACGGGCGGTGGGGCTCCTACGAGAAGGAGTATCATGACATGGCGCGTGCTACAATGCTCAAGTATATGCTTCAGGCTCGTATGGGTATGATGAACGGAATCTTCGTGGCATACCACAATGTCAAGAGAATGTTCGGATTTCAGTATATCCCCATCTCTGAAATGGACAGGATTCTTCACGGACAGCCCGACACCTGCCTTGGAGATCAGGAGTTTAAAGCTAGTCTGAAGATCTTGAACGATCTCTTGAACAAAGCAACAACGAAATATCCGGAACAGTCTTTACGGATTCACTTCGAGACGAAGCCTGCCATTGGTGAGACGCCGGCTGAGCTGCATATGTTCGCTGAGCCGATGATTGAGGAAGAAATCAGAAAGATTCAAGACAAGCCAAAGGAAAAGATTGCGGAGTTTGAGCGGAAGATCATGGGCAAGGAGGACGTTCAAACGGTCGACGAGACGGACAGTGCTGGAAAGGAAACAGTGGAAGGCTCTTCCGAAGTATCCTCTGCAGGTTCTCGCCAGCCTGGCGATGATGCTACTGCACTCGCTCGCAGCAGACTTGACTACAAGTCGACTGATACGCCTGCAGACAAGCCGTTCCTGAACGAGGTGCAAGAAACCGAGACCAGTGAGCTCAGGCCTCTGTTCTATGCCAAAGTCGTGGTCCAATCGCGAGTCAACGGTTCCATACCAACTGAAGGACGTCCTCAGAACCTCAAAGCCAGCGACACATGGGAGCTCGATTACCTCATTCGGGAAGCTGAGGTCTCAAGACACGTGTGGGCGCTGTACGACGACACCCGCGCAAGGCGAAAGGCGGCATTGCACTTTGATCGAGAGGAGGCAGACGCGGCAGATGGCGAAGGCGAGGGCAAAGTCAAGGAGACAGACCATTTCATCGAATTCTTGAAAAACATGAGCAGGAAAGGAGAGATAATTCGCGAAAAGCAGGATCTGGCAGATGCCGAGAGCGGTCAGCCGGTGGTCAGAGTTGACGAACCACTGCCTCGTCACCGCGAGAAGATTGAGACGTTGGAAGACTATCTTGCATGGATGTACAAAAGGGAGCAAGCGTAGACGGTGTACAGCCTCCAGCGAGGATTCTTGAAATGTACGATAATTGCATAGCGCGGAGTCGGTACGTGGAGTGAGAGATGCTGATGAGCATTGATGATGTAGTAGCACGACTATACGAGCAATAGCCCTGTGGAGGCAATGCATGGCGAACAACCACGCTCGCGGTTGTGGTTCGTGGTTCGGCTGGTCGGCACTCTTGGCATCCACCTGTTCCAGCCGCGTGCTTGGGGCGAGGCGAGGGTCCCCAAAGTTTAGCGGGCGCAATGCCCCTGATGAATAATGTGATGATGATGTTTTGCGCTGCGCAAACGATGGCCTAATTTCCATTGTGGGCGGGAGTCGGGACGCGCACGTTTGGCAGCCAAGCACAATTTCGCGAGGAGAAGAAGACAAAAGCGCTGCGTGGGCGCGCGGCAGTCGTGCGAAACTAGTGCCAGCGCGACTTCACGCATTGCCCTTCGCGACACCACCCTTCAGCCCTGCAGCCAGCCAACCCGGTCGTCCTCCCGGCAGGGCTTCAATCAGAAGCAACACGCGACACAGGGCAAAGCGCATGTTGGGCTCCCAGAAACCACTACTCCTTCTCCCCGCGACGCAGCCACGTCCCCTACAAATCATGCACCATGGCCGAAACTGCCTCCCCGCCCCCGAACGCGCCCTCGCGCTATAGATCGCAACGCCAGCGAAATGCGCCCGTCGAAGGAGACCCTGTGGTTCCGCCCCTCCCCAGCTCTCCGGGCGCGGAAGACAGCGAACTCGTCCGCAGCAAATCGCGCTACCACCGGAAGCAAGCCCCCGCCGCGACAACGACCACCTCCCCCGAGACAAGGCCGGTGACGCGAGACCAGCATGGCGAGACGCCGTCGCGGTACCGCAGCAAGCACCGTAGTCCGCCATTGAAGCCACTCTACCAGGAGCAGGTCGTGCAGGCTCCACGACTGCAACAAACGAGAACTACTTCGAGCGAGAACAACACCAAGACACGACACATAACTACGCCTCCAGCAGGACTGGGCGCACAGGAATCCAGACACTTTAGCAGCAGCGGCGATGAGCGGGACTCAGACGCAGACAAGCGACAGCACTCCACAGACACAGCCCCTAAATCGAGACACAGCGACCAGCGACAGCCCATTCCGACCTCAGTTCCAGCTTCAATGCCCTCTCCTACGGGTGAGCTCTTCCCGCGCCCCATGGAAGTCGAACCTCCCCGGGGTGACGGCCCACCGCAATCAGGCCAAATAAGAGCAACGAACAGCATGGCCGATATGTCGCATTATAGCGATGAGGATAGGGGGTGTTTCGGTGGCTTGTTCAAACGCAAAAGAGGCGATATGGCAGTGCCAGCTGTCGAAAAGTCCAATCACACTTCACCTGCCGCTGCGAAATCTCATGAGCCAATTCGTCCAGGAGGTGGTGGGGTGGTGCCGGGCATCGATGCGCCCAAGTCGGCTGTGAACGCTGGTGACCGAAGAGTTCTTGTGGAGTGTCAATCTTCTCAGAGATGGTTTGCTGTGACGCCGGAGACTACATCAGTGGACATTATCAAGACTGCAGCCACTGTCATGTCTGAGCGCATTGACATCAAGTCTGCATTGCTGGTCGAAACTTTTAAAAGCGTGGGAGTGCAACGCCCGCTCCGGCGATACGAGCAGATCAGAGATGTTCTGAACAGTTGGGATGACGATGCGCAAAACAGACTCACACTGGTCGATCCGGGATCGGGCACCATTGAGCCAGAATTGACGATAACAGGCGCGCCAAAAGAACGACCAGAAGGTGATACCTGGCCGCTCATGTGTTCAACCAGACCCGGAAAGTGGGAAAAGCGCTTTGTGACGTTGAAGCCCGAAGGCCAAATTGTTTCACACAAGGATGCAGACAAGCAGAAAGACCTGGTCAATGTGTGCCACCTCAGCGACTTCGACATCTACACTCCCACCACGGAAAGGAAGAAGGGCAAAATAAAGCCACCTAAGAAGTATTGTTTCGCAATCAAGAGCCAGCAGAAGACCAGCATGTTCGAGTCCACGCAGGATTTTGTGCACTTCTTCTGCACGGGAGACCCAGTGACGAGCGATAATTTTGCCAAGACCGTGCAGAGCTACCGCAGCTGGTATCTGGTAAACGTGCGCGGCGTTGGTCAGAAGGAGAAGCCGGCCGCGGCACCTCCAACTCTTCCACCGCTGAGTTCCGGAGATGCCAACACCCGTAGCACAAGCATTGAGTACAAGAAGAGCCATCGTCCGCAAGAGTCTATGGAATCGCACTATCAGCTCGGTTCTTTTAGGCCTTTGATGGATGCGGAAGCCTTCGAGAAGCGTCGCTCATCAGGAGGATCGGAAACAGGCATGGCGGGCTCAGGGGGCTTCACAAAATCTGCGAACCAATTTGATACTAGCGTTCCGCTCGAGAAGCGAAGCAACACTGTCAAGCGATCGCATCCACCTGGCGCCATGGCGAATCGTGGCGTGCTTGCTGAAGACGAGCCATTGGCAAATCTGGGCCGAAGCGCATCTGTCAGTAAAACAAGACCGTCATCGGACCAGAAGCGGATTGACAGTTCTGAATTCAAGGACACCGGTCTCCTCGGGAGGAATTACTCTCAGAGACGGAAGGAGAACGAGCAGCGTGAAACAGCCTTCACAACCGGTCCCAACTTATTGAACGGCGGTCTCATGGGTCGTGACGACTCATTCGGCAGTGGCGACGGACTGCAGAGAAGGACATCCACAAGGAAGCACACCAGTAACGGCGAACTCAAGCGCAGCGGCTCCACTCGTGACCATCATCGAAGTGGGGGGCATGTGCGTGAAGGCTCGATCGAGCTTGGGAGATCAAGCTCAAGAAGAGAAAAGCCGAAACCACTGGTTGACCTGACGCCGGCATACAAGGAGCCACCTCAACACAAGAACAAAGGAAAAGGACACAAGCCCGATCGGCTTGGAAACGGAGGACTGATCGAAGCCGCGACGTCACCTGAGGATCCACTCAATATACCACAGGGCACGGTCTTCAGACACACAAGCGGAGGTCAGCAAAGCCAAAGAGTAACATCTGGACAGCAAAGCTCAGGACTTATCGATTTGACGCCTCAGCACAAAGAGCCGATACATCACGCACGCAAAGGCAGAGGCTATGTTCCGGAGAGTGGCGGCCACAATGGCGGTCTCGTTCACAGTGCCTCGACGCCAGAGGACCCCCTAAACTTACCACAAAACCACGTCTTCCGCAGTGCGCCAGAAGGCCGAAGCACCTCAGGGGGATTCTCGCAACCTCAAGCCTCGCAGTCCCTACAACGAGGTCCATCGGTCCGTAAACCTCAAGCAGAAGCTTTCACGGGCGAAGGTCTCCTTGCTTCTGCTGCCAACCGACAAGGCTGGGGAACGAGCGATAAGGGTCGAGGCGTGATTGATGGAAGCCGCGCGGGAGGCAAGCCCCTGGTCGATATCAACTATGATAGCAATTACGCGAAGGGCACGCTGTTGAACAAAGTCGAGAAGTCACAGGGCGGTCCTGTGCAAGCCCCCATCATTGATCGGGAGAAGAGGGATGAGGTTGATATCAAAGTGGGAGAGAGATTTTGAAAAGAGGGGGCCACTTGTTTTCGTTTTTGTTCTTTTGCATTTCGTGCATTGCTTATCAGCGGCAGCAAATTTTTCTTTCTCGTTTCTTTCCGTGTGTTAAGGTGCAAGGCCCGGGATGGCCATTCTGCAAAAGAGAAGGGGCATACCATTTTTTGCGGTCGAGAGGAATTTTCGCTTCTTCCTACTTTTTTTGTTCCTCGATACTATATACTATGTCTCGTACAAGGAGGTTTCTTTTCCATTGTTTGAATATACTCAACGGCAGTAACTCTGATACTCAGTCAGGACAAATATGGCATATAGCTAAGATAATGCTTGCTTGCTTGCTCGGAGGTCTTCAGATCGAAGTCGGTTTGCAGCACAGTGTCGAGAAAAGTGTCTGGTATGCGTGCGATCACAGAACAGAGATGTGCATGGCAAGCGACCTATGACCTACAAACTCACCTACCTGGCTCTCTCGCGAGCAACTGGGATTTTCGGGCCGGTGAGCATTGCTCATACCCATCGAAGCTTTCTACGAAACATAAGATTGCAGGACTCAATGACGAGCCGTTCTCAATGCTCGATGTACACTCAAGCGGCATGATACGAACAAGAATGTTCTAAGGACGACCTGGATGCTACGACCTGTTTCAAGATGTAACCCAAGGCTATTTTTGAGCTGGTATTGCTTTTGAGACATGTGGTCCAGCATGATGGCTCGGGATCTGTGGAATGCTCGAACCATGAATAGATTTTCTCTACATTCCTTTTGCACACGAGGTTTGGGGGGTCCAGACCACGTTGGTGAGCATGTTCTTTGTGCGTGGAGTTGAGAACGTGAATGCACAGAATGGGTGGATATGCACAACGAGGTTGGAAGTGATATGGAAAAATTGAGTAGTACTCCTTGGCACATTGCTATCGTAGAGACCTAACCTCGAAACCATTCAAAGGATCTATACAGCACAAACAGAGTTCGATAGTGCATGGTTTAGCGTGTGCTTAGATCCACGACACTGCATTGCCTTTGCCCTCTAGCATAGAAACCAGTATGGATCGGTAGATAGAACAATCGCGAAGCAGCGTAGAAGATAGGCGAACGAACGAAACGGAACTAACACCAGCCTATCGTTCCACCCACGCTCCATTATCGTTCAGCCACCGCATTCGAACTCGATTGCGTGTCTACACCGGGACAAGCACGAGTCCGAGGGACACGCATGAGCCGTACGATGTAATGCATACACATTGCATGATCTATGCAAAAGCTCGCAGGCGTGGCAGGAAACTGCAATCGATCACACTCAAATTCTCTCAACGAGAAACTCCCGATATTGCGTAGTTGATGAAGCAACGTGAGGTCACGAAACTCGCATGCATGCAATGCACGACCGGCACGACTCGCGAAAGCACAACACTATTTCTGGGGTCCCGCCACTCACCGCAATACCTTTTGCCGACATTGATCGGCAGCCACACGTTTTTGATCCTTCGGAAGTGATTCGATTCAGGTACGGGCTGAGTAGGTTCGGCTTGAGCTCCGCTCGCGCAATTCTTTTGATCGTGGCAGATGTGGTTCCTGCAGTGATACGGGAAATACCGCATAGTGAAAGGTGTGCGAGAGGGGAAAATGCAGTTGAACACCCACATGGTGAACTTGCGCAATATGCGCGATACAGTATCCTCTTTATCTGTTCTGCGACAGGTGTGGTACTGCAGGGGATAACAGGTTCAACGAACCAGTAGTCACACCACTGCGACCAAACTTCCTATTCATTTCGTCGTTCCTTTCCGACTCTCTCAAATAATATTGTCGTAATTGATGCATGCAGTGTTAAAGCAGAAAGACCCAAGCACCGAAGCACCCAAAAGGAGACCCAATAACGCCATCGCTAATACGTCTGAAAATTCCAAGCAAATTGATCGATGCAGATGCAAGTAAAACATCATTGGTGTACAGGTGCCAGTCTCTCGCATATTATCACACGGCCAGTGGGTTCGGTTTTGGAGGCCCTAAGAGTGAGTCCCAGTCGCCTTTGGGTGCTGGCGCTGCCGGTACTACAGGCAGCTTCGGCGTCTGTGCTCTGTTGAATCTCCTCCCTGGACATTCTCGTAATGGTTGATGGACCGTGATGACCAGGGAATCGCGTCTACCAGGTGTCGAGTATCGGCTTGTAGTTTTCGTAGCCAGTTCTGCAATGTCGACAGTAGAGTTCCTTCGCTTCAGTTGTTTGAGATTTTCGGTCATGGCAGATAGTGCTGCAGGTGGGACACCGACATCGGTTTCTGATGAGCCGCGCGTCATGATACGATCCAGGCTTCTTGTCATGAAAGACGGGCGCTTGCTTAGGCGTGGGCGTTGTGGGAAGCTTTCATTCTCATCAAAGAACGTCCAGCTTGCGGACTCCTCGAATCGTACTCTCTTGACTGGTTTCGCGTTCGGGCTGAGGTGGCCGCAGTCTGATGTTCGACTGCTGCATGAGCTGGCTCTGCCGCTGCTCAGACTATCGTGCCGGCTGTTCAGTGTAGTGGTCTCTGCGGATCGCGTAGAGTCGACATCAGAGCTTCCCGATCGCAAGCTCAGGTCCAGGTCCATCGTGAACATTTCCAGCATGGCTACCTGCTTCTCGACATCGACCGGGAGCGCAGGTGATATTCTGCAAGAGGTCATGTGTGCAGCGGCCATGGCGATGTCGTCGCGATTGTCTTAGTGGTATCGAGAGGGGAGAGATGGCGTGCGGTCGCGAAAAGATCAAGATAATGGATAGAGTTCGAAAACACCGGCCTCCAGCAGGAGCGAGCGTTGGCGAATGTTTCAGCCTTGCTGTGCACCACTCGGAAGATCAAACAGAGAGCGGAAAGCCACACACGGCATGCAGGAAGGGCCTGTAGTCAGTGTATTTGATACAACGAGCGACGGGTGTGTGCCAAAGGATCGCGGTCGCAGGCTTAGCCGTGCAAAGCAGTGCGCCGCGTCGGCCTGCGAGCACCTTGGGGCTTTTTAGAAAGTTCCTCAGCACAGCTGTGCGACGTAAACTGACGCTGGTTGGGATCAACCTGGCTTCTCCAACTGCCACATTGGTAGGCTACCGATGTGTGCCCGGTGCCGTCACGCCGACCATCGCCACTCATTGGCCTGTTCCTGCAGCCTCGACCAAGGGACTGGTACACTTATCGTGCAGTGTGCATTTCAAGCCGGTTTGAGCACTGACAGCTGCTGTGGCTGCTCGGTGGTTTCACTGTTTCAAAGATAGCCGGCTGGCCATCGTCGCTGGAATTCGAGCACAAACAACACAAGACTGCGGAGAATGTCCGTTCCACCGCACCTTGCCTCTGCGATCGATGCGAACAGGTCGCTGCACATCGTGCATGCTCCAGCGTATCCTGGCCCAGTGGACGATGCATGAGATCATGACTTGTTATCGCGACTGCGCAAGCGCCAATAGTTGGATATTGCGACACCCGACCACCGGCTTACGATGTCGAAAATAATGCAGTTGAGGCTGGCCGTCGCTGGCCTCTGCACGCGCCGCATTCGGCTCCACGAACGTTCCTGTCTTCAACGCATTCTTTCTGAGACATCAAGTGTTCAAGACGCCAGGGGCCAGATGCAGCGTTCCGCGCCGTTCATGCAACTGATACACTCTCGTGTTACCTCGAGGAGATCTGGATTCGGTCCAGCCTGCAGCCTTCACGGTGCTTCAGACGAATCGCAAATCGGTAGAGAAACGCCAGGCTGTCCCAGGGTAAGACAGCTGCCTGTGCGACTTCCACCTCCGCTTCATCTGCTTTGCAATCGCTCCACCGTGGCACAGGTCTGCCTCTTTCCGTTGTTCGCACTCTGGCGATGTCAACCGTCCTTGGTACCTACATATTGCCATCTGATGTTGATGGCGGGTCTCCTGACACACCAAATGGCGATCGAATGCATTCAACGTGAAGATATGCTCCACGTTAATGCACGCACGGCACAACTCTCGGCGCGCGACTCTTCAACTCACCAAGGGGACGCACGAGTGCTTGTCGTTCGTTTCACGGGAACGACAGGGCATAGTCGATGTGGTCAATCGAGCACAAGACCACCGTGCCATGAGAAGGAGGGTGGCATCTCGCGAAGCTGCACATGGCGTCTCACAACTGCACTGATGCAGGCCTGAAGTTCGAACTCAAATTTGGGTTGAGCGGCTGATCAGCAGACACCATCTGCAACCACTGTGATGAGGCCACGTCTGACGCGTGAACTGCTCAAAGAACAGAAATTGCTCATGGCTGAGCGACGGCCACGGCAGTTCCAGACGGAGCATTGAGTGTGTTCGCGACTGTGCAGAGAGCATGCAATCGAGGACCTCAACGATTTGTTGGTGTGACCTCAAGGCTGGTTCATCAGTATTTGGCTGAGCACGCTGGCCATGTGGCTACCCTTGGCTCGCGAAAGGTTCGAGACTTTGTTTGAAACGACGCAACCCTTTTGTGGCCGTACTGATGATATTTGGCACGGCGGACATGCCTCTGGTCTTGCATAATAGCGCACAGCTCGAAGGAGGGTGGCGTAATCGGGGCCATCTTGACTCTTCGGCCTTTGAAAGGCTTGATGACTTGCCAGCGGAAGAGTCTGCGATCTGGGGATGCGTGGGGTGATCTACTCCATCACCCCGTACTGTAACATTTCGTGCACTCGGATCTTCTCGCCCTTGCGCTGAGTATGGCGTGTGTGGTATGCTGGGCATCGCCTCCACGGAAGCGCAAGACGCCCGATCATCCCAACGTATCTGGCTCCACGTGTTAAACACCCTGCGATCCCGTTCGGGAATAGATGTGAGGTCATATCTCTGCTTCCAGCAGGACGAGCCTTTTCCTGGGTCGTGCTCGGCAAATTGGAGCTTGCTCCGGCGCGTCGAACGATATAGCGGAGACAGAAAGATACAGTAGTCGCAAGATGCCAGTCGCAGATCCTAGGAAGCGTTTCCTGAGATTCCTAACGTTGAGATGCACACCAGTGTTTGAGCGAAGAACGTGCGCCTCGTGTATTTCATGCCATCTTCCATGGCCATTTCTGGCGACATGAAGATAAGGACCGCATCATTCCGTTGACGATACGCTCGTTCAGAAGCGTGTGGTGCGTGATGGGTCTTTCATGCCTGGCAGCGCAGCGCAGAGATGGGTGGCTTGATGATGCTGTTGTCGTCGAGATGATTCGAGAGGAAGTCGCGCGCCAGGGACGACGCGCCTTCACGTGCGCACGCGATCTCGTCAGCCCTTAGACTCGTCCGACAGCTTGCGCTGAACAACATGGTGCCATTCTTGCGCACCGACCTGTAAGCTCAAGTCGCTCTCGACATGGCTGACTCGTAAATATGGATAAGTTTCCAGCATGATGCAGGTTGACAGAGAATTGTAGGATCACTAAATATGGCCGCAGAGTCCATTTCCAGCCGGCTGGCCACAGGAGCAGGTGTAAGTGCAGTCGCTGGGAGGAAACTTACCTGAGTCTATCCTCGGATCTTCCGCTGACTACTCCTCAAAGCATGCATATGGGGTGCTATACCTTGTTGCCGCCTTGGCGTATACATTCACACAGAAGACATTTTGGCAGGGTTTTAACAAGGAGAAGAAAGCACGTCTAGCGAGAGCTTCAAGGAATTTATGGTCGTTGCAAGAGAGTCTGGAGGGCATCAGACATAAGTTTCTCAAGTTGAAGAATGGCACTCAGCTTCACTATCTGGAGGCAACGCCCTCTGTTGCAGCGAAGTCCGATTGTCTCGTGATATTTATACATGGCTTTCCGGACTCATCTCATCTATGGACCAAATATCTGCGATCCAGCTCCCTGGCTGGCCAAGCGAAGCTTGTTGCGCTTGATCTTCCCGGATGTGGCGGCAGCGATAGTCTGGACAGGTACGGACCAGATCAAATGCTCAATGCCATTGCGGAGGCGATCGTCCTACTCAGGGAGCGCTACCAGTCCAAGCATGAAGATCTTTCTGGAAAGCAACAACAATGCATTCTGGTAGCACACGACTGGGGAGGAATCATCGCCTTCCGCCTCGCCGCACAGACTACAGGATTGTTCGATCACTATATTGCCGTCAACACCATGTATCCTGTGGCAGCAGAAGCGAACATTTATTCCAAGTTGGCCCAAACGAAGCAACTACTCAAGAAAGGAAAACTTCCTTCCGCACTGCGCATCTTTGGACCCGTCATGGTCCAATTGCTCATGTCAAGTTACGTGTACATGATGAACCTTGAGCTCTCCTTCGACAAGGTCTGTCCAGCTTTGACGTGGGCTCTCGTAGAGGGATCCCACAAGTTAGCGTACAAGAAGTACCCAGAACCATCTCCAGAAGAGGAAGCCAATCGCTTAGCCCTCGCATGCGGGCCAGGAGCAGCAGAGGCCAAGTTACCGGCAGACGATGGTTCAATGTATGGTCCATCTGTCTACGAGCGTGCCACTAGGTGGAATGTGCCTGGCAATTGGGACGGGCGGGTCAAGCTCTATACGCAAGGCCTCTTCCGAGGTAAATGGACGCCGGACTACCCGGGTATCTCAACATTGCCGCTCTCAAAGAAGTCGGAGGATACGGTGGTAGACAAGCGATTCAAGTATCCTGTCACTTGTATATTCGGCATGAAAGATATCGCGCTCGATCCACGAGTCATGCTTGATGGCATAGAAGAGTTCTTCCTCCCAAGCAGTGATGGGCTCTGCGAGAGTAAGATCGTGCGTCTGCCCGAGGGTGGACACTGGTGCATGATAGAGAAAGATGGCGAAGAGGCGATAGAAGCAGAGCTAGCGCTACTGCTGAGAGGCCACGAGTCTTAGCTATATATACACTAATCTGTGTCTATCTCCAATTGGCAGAGAAGACGTATCGTACCTCGACTTCGTCAAATACAATGCTGCCTTGTCAATCAACGCCAGCTCAACTGAACCGGTCCACTGTTTCGGCATTCCCAGTGACTAGCTCGCGTGAGAGTGGGCTTAATACAAGCTCAGGGAGATCCACCGCAAGCTCACGAGAAGATGCACCTTAGTCATTTTCGGGTCGTTGCAGGTGATTCGAGTCGTTCCGTGAACAGTCGAACCCGAATCTTAGAGGGTTTCTCTCGGCACGACAAAAAGTCGCGGCGCTTTAGCCATCTCATCACAGCCAGTAGGCACCCGGCTGGCGGGATCCCGCAGGCGAGGACCGTGGGCCTTCAAAGATGCTGCTGCAGTCTAGGCTGCTATTGCTGGGGGGCACATCAGCTGTAGGGATAATATCGATGCACGAAGCACCATCACAGCACTGCCTCATCCACTTTCCAGCTTTTTCAACTGTGCGACAACCTGTTCCACAGATCCCTCCACGGCCGCCTTGTCTTTCTCGTCCATCTTCTTCAGGACATATCGCGCAACATCATCGCTCTCCCTGCTGACAGGTCGACCAATTCCAATTCCAATCCTCACAAAAGGCGTATTCCCAATTGTTGACATGATGCTCTTCAAGCCATTGTGGCCTCTTGCGCTGAGACCCTGCTGTATTTTGACATTGACAGCACCAAGCGGTTTCTCCAACTCATCGTGAACCACAACGAGTTTACCATTCCCGTCTGGCAAATTCTTATTCCACGCCTGGTACGCAGCCTTCACACCCTTCCCACTCTCGTTCATGTAATCTGTACTTTGCCATAGAACCCAGTTGCCCGAATCGCCAATCGTCGCAGGCCTGCTCACGAGGCCTTTACCCCATATCTTCTCTTTCGTGTATTGCCCATAGCCCAAGTGGGATGCTAGGCGATTCAGAACAGTATGTCCGGCACTGTGTAATGTGTTCGCATATTGGGCGCCGGGATTGCCAATGCTGCAGACCAGCAGCGGGATCGGTCGGGCAGCTGCGAGCATCGATTCAGGCTCCGCGGTCTCAGTCCCAGCAGTAGCAAGAACGGCATCTGCAACCTGTTTCTGCTTCTGCTTCGTCTTCTGCTTGTCCTTCTTCGACTTGGTGGGCGGTTTTGCAACAGACGAGCGGCGTCGCGTGCGGAGGACGATGTCCGACACGTTTTGAGCCGATCTTTCCCGAGTTTCGACCGCGTCTTTCTGGTCGTGGTCTTCCACCACTTCGTCTGCAGCTATTATTACGATATCCATAGCAGGCATAATTATGTTTAGGAATGAGCGTGGTGGCTAGGGGCTTATGTCATTGCGCAAAGTATATAGATAGATAATTCTTATACGCTGGTCTACCTCTTTTAACTAGAGTAAGCAGTACGCTCTATATTTTTTCGTAGGTAGAAAAGCTCTTATACTAGCACTCCGGCAGAAAAACCTCCTCGTGTCTTTATATTTTGTAGTAAGCTCTATATAGCCTGCTGCTTCTATAGTTTCTAGTTCTTCTTAGGATAATTTGCGTTATCT